TCCTATCCATACCCCTCATGATTTTATAAACCTCTATAAGGTCACCTTTATTTACAGGTGGAGAGTCCTCAACAATGATCTAGCTCCCTCACAGCTAGTTGTCAGAGTGAACAGAACCCTTGACACTCCTAGTAGAAGAAGGGTCCTGAACTGAAACATCAGCTTTCCTGCTCCTCTGATGCTGCCTGGCCTGCTGTGTTCCTCCAGCTCCACACTGTGTTAACTCCCACTTCACTTGTTTGCATTTGTAACTACTGGAAGACTTTACTTAATGTCATTCCATACAACATCATTTTGCATTAATGTGAATCTAAAATTAATACCCTGCATTCACACTGTGTTAATGCTGTTTTATATTAACATCACCATATGGCTAGACATTCTTGTACAATTGCATATTGAGCCAATGAGAAAAAAAAACAAAGAAATGCAAATGTTGTAAATCAGAAACAAAAACCTAGAACTGAGGAAGGGTCACTGGACCTGAAACGTTAACTCTAATTTCTCTCCACAGACGCTGCCAGACCTGCTGAACATTTACAGCAATTTCTGTTTTGTTTCTGGTTTCCAGCATCTGCAGTTCTTTTGGTTATTATCCATTAAAGACCGATGGCTAAATGCAAGCAACTTTGCTCAACATTGATGGGTGTTGTGCGCTTTGTCGCATCTTCTGAACCAAACAATACAGCAGTTATCTCACATTGGATACATTGGATATCTTGAATTGTGGTATTATTTGTTAATTTTACTCTTTAAATTCATTCATAATGAGCCAAAAAGAGCTAGCAATTAAGAAGTGCTTTCTGCCAAGAAAAGATAGTGTAAACAAGTTACTCAAGTGCAATTAGGTATTATGAAGTTTCCTGAAACAGATGAATATTTAGTTAATATTGCCAGAGCTATTGGTGAACACAGAGCCATTTAAAATCAGTAGTGGATGGTTTGCACAGTATTAAAAATGTACTAATTTGCATAACATTGTTGAAAGTGAAGAATTTGCCAGTTACAGTGATGAAGCAGCTGAATCCTTCATTAGAACGTTAAGTGAAATAATTGAGGAAGATTGATGCACACTTCAACAAGTGCTTCATGTGCATAAAGCTGCATTCCAGGACATACATTTCAAAGAAACATTTGCCAGGTTTTAAAACAGCAAAGTATCTTCTGGCTTTGCTACCTGGTAGGAATGCAGCAGATGATTGTCAAGGGAGACCAACTCTTGTTTATTATTCCCAAACTCAGAGCAGAATGAAGAACACACTACTTGTTGTGTGGAGGGAAACAAGAATGTTTGGGTAACTCATGCATTTTTTGATTAGTTTATTTCTGTCCAACTATTGTGGATTATTGATCAACAAATAATCTTTCTAGTAGAGCATTACTCAAGCTGGATAATGCTCCTGGCCATCCTATTGTTCTTGATGATCTCAGTAACAACATAAAAGTGATCTACCAACCACCTAAGACCGCCCCCAATTTACAGCCTATGGGTGAAGAGCTGATGGCAACCTACAAGGTCTTTTGCTCTAGAGGATGTTTGGACAGGCCATCATGAAAACAGAAGGTGATGAAACTCCAACGCGGACAGACATTTAGAAGAATTATAACATCGTTAAAGCCACTGATCATATTTTTGTGACTTGGAATAAAGTTACCTGAAGTACCAAATGCTGAAACTAAAATTTAGTTATCTTAAATACGTTTTACTTTAGATATGTTTGTCACTGCTTTCTGAAAGGACTACATAGGGGCCAGTATCCCTTTACCGAGTCATCCTTTATTTACATGTGCAAAGTACATGGGTTTTTACCAGCCAGCTCAGAGCCAGTCCCTATAATCATGAGACTCTCTGAATCTCCTGTTTATATCTGTCAGCCAGGGCTCCCTGATTGGCCCAGGTTAACAACCCCAATCAAGGATCTCATGGTCAATAAGATCCAGCTGGCCCTCGGTCCAATCAGTACACTTTCCTATTTCATTATCTTCCGTATTATCATATGATTTTGGCATAGTTTGGCATAGTGGCACCTTGGATAGGTAAGAACATTGCACGTTTCCACATGTATCACAGCACTAAATTCTGACTTCGGTGGAGAACAATGTTAGTCACTAAATCTCAAATTAATTTCAGGAAACATCTAATTTTGGGCATGTGTAATTATTTTGCTTTGTAAGCTCAAATGAGTATAATTTATGTAATCAACAGCACATCAACACTTGAGTATTCAAATTATTCATTCATTTAATTTTAATCTGAAATATTTTAGTAACGTTTGCTAGATATCATGTCATGATTATCCTCTGATGTGTTGCCCAAGTGCTTATTTTCCACGAACCCAAACAGGAACTATAAAGAGATAATCCGACCATAGTGCTGCCAGGGTCTGTTCAGGCTCATGTCCACAAATACATTTTCCAGAAGTGGTTACAAGATAACAGTAGGAAGCAGAACCTCTGAACTCTTCTGTCCTCCTTATCTAAATGCACGAAACAAAAAGTAGCTGCTTGGTATACCTAGAAACTGTTCCTCTTCATTTTGCCTTCCTCATATGATGAATGATTTAATGATACTGCAAGTGACTTTACCTATTGACTGTACTTTTTTAGCTGCTTTAATTAACAGCCAGACAGTGAGAGCACACCTTCCTTTTTTTACCCCACAGGAAAAAAATACTCTGTTTTGGGTTTTTATTTCATGGATGCATTCATACTGGTTGAATCTTTTCTTGTTGATAACAAACTGTATGCAATCGCATGAACTTGTAACCAGTTCGCTGTTATTTCTAGTCATCATTGATATGTTTTATTAACACCAAAGGCCTTATATTTGTATTATACCTTTTTTTTTGTTTTGGTTACTCCTTTCATTTGCCAATTATAGTAATGAAGAATTCCATTATAAACTCATTTTCAAGCCTAACTCAGATTTCTTGTACCAATAAAAACGAAAGGAGATGCAGAAATGAATACTTAGTGTGGTTGCATTTTATTAATAAAGTGTATTCAGTGTATTGAATCTTTATGTGACGCATTTTTATTGTTTGTGACAGTCCTGAAGATCAAATATATGTGGAGTTATTAACGTTATAGTTGAAAAATTAAGAAAACCAAGAGTAAATCTACTGCTCTTACTGTAAGCTTGTTTGATGACGTTTTGCAACTGGTGATTCAGTCATTTTCTGTAACAAAAGTGGTATTATTTAATATTGTTTATTCAATATTGTAAATAATAAAGCTAAGCAAGAATGTAACTTAAATTCAAGATTTTTTTTTAAAGTTCAGAATTGACAATACAATGTGAACCATTTTTCAGAGAATTTCTTAACATTTTCAACATGTATTCTTGCAGTTTGAGGCAAAAAAAAAATTGGTTTTGAGAAGGAATTTCCTTCTAGGATTTGTACCACAGTTGGCTCTTGAATTATAGTCATTATCTTTTATTTTCACAGCTTCACATATGCAAAGTGTGATTTCTTCATCTTCTTCCCAATGCATGTACAGCAACAACTCAAGTCAATATAATTCTCAGGATACAATTGATGTCCACAGACAGCCTGGGGAGGTGACAAATATGGTATCGTCTTTACCCCCAATCAACACAGTGTTCATGGGGGCCACAGCTGGAGAAACATAGTGTTTCACTGAAAATTCAAAGCCTATCAAACATGCAATGTTTCTCAAAAACACATTAATGGGATCATCTGAACAATATTCCAGGATTTTTGCAGCTGTCTGTGAATCCAAGAACCACGTGGGTATCTTAATTGCAAACTTTACTACTTGCCAGACAGAAAATGGCATCATAAATGTGGAGAACGCATATGGTAGAATTTACCAATGTCAAAAATGAAGAATGTTGCTTCAGAGTGATAACTTAATGTTTACTTCTGGGATAAAACATAGAAGATTAAGCAGGTATTAATTTTTCAACAGTCAAATTGTAACATGCAGTTTACAATTATTATTTATAATTACCTGTAATATGCTACAATCATTTCTGTGTTTAATTATCAGTTAATGATGCAATGCCACTTGTTATTCGAGATTCATTTGCTGTTGTGTATTTATTATTTGTGAAAATCATTGTTTTTCTCTAAAGTTCATTTATGCCTGGCTCTTTAGTTTCATTGATTTGATTTCCTTTCTGCATATTAATAGACAGACACGGGAACACAAATCTCAGCAAATTAATTTGCCATTGAGGACTTTTTCATTGGGGTAGAACTTCCTACAAACGCAACATCAGCAATGTACATTGTCATGTAAAATGAGAACACTTACAATCTCATTGTTGTTCAATTCTTCCAAAATTTCCTGGTTTTCCTGGAAATAGGGAAAGTGCTAGATATTAGAGTGAGCACTGGCAAGTGTATGACATATGGCAAAATAGCTGAATCTTAAGCATGATTCCTGACTGCTCAATATTGCTTATGCGTGAGTGACAGGGCTATGATGCACTCAGCAGTCTATATGCTGGTGGCACAATGAAAGGAAATTGTATTTTGAAGATGAATTCGCTTATCCTCACAATGCATGGAAGGTCATTGAATGTTTAGCAGTGCCATAGCCAGATTCTTAGAGTCACATTCCTTTCGTTGGCCTCCTTTCCTGCTAGCTTTCATTTCTTTTGCAGTATGTTGCTAGAGAGCCTCATGATTCCCTGTTAAAACATTGGACTGAATTTTCTGGGGATGGTGCAATGCAGCCCTAACATTGTTTATAACTTTAATACATTTCCCACAAAGGAAAGTCCCACTCTTGAGAACTGCAGCAGTCCAATTTGATTGGCGGGTATCTGCGTAACTCTAATAGCACCAGAATTCAGTAGTGGGCACTGCTGAGACTACAAGTATTCATGACGAGAAGCTCCATAGTAACCAGTCTTGGAGGCAAGTCTGGCTTCTCAGTTGAGAGGGATTGGGGAACTTCAGGCAAGGCGGTGAGTAAAACTTTGGAGGCCAAAATGGAATTGCAAAGGGAAGTGGGGGTAACATTTTGTGGGAAATACCCCCAGATGACATAAGGCACTGACAAAGGTAGAAACGCCGCTCTCACCTTTTCACCTGCAATGGTGAAGTAGTGGGCTGCCCTCTTTCATTCTGCCTTCCTTAGCCACATGTTACTGTGGCAGGAGGGCAAACCAACATTTAACTGGCCATTAATTGACCAGTTAAGGGCATCAATAAGTCTAAAGGAGGGCTGACTGTTGCATTTGACACCCACTGTATTAAGGAGGACAGCTTGGGGATGAGCAGGAAGGTGACAGTCTGGGCACCCATTCTACTTTACATGCTCCTCCTTCCTGGACAGCAAATACGTTGGCTGAGTGGGTGGAGGAGGGGGGAGGTGCTGTGAAATTTCCACCATGATCTCTTCCTCTTTACCTCCTGGATCAAGGGCTCCAGCACTGCATCAGAAAACCTAAGACCTCTGGCCTGTTTCTCTATTGATGCCCTCATCCCAACTCTGAAACATCTTCAGTTATGGTGCTACAAGCTACTGCAAAGTGAATGCATTTACTTCCCAGGAGTGTAGGTGGCATTTAACGCTGGCCAACATGTGCTGGCCATGCACCCAATGGGCTTCCTTCTGAACATGTAGCCAGTCGGTAGAACTTGTTGCACACCACTATTGTTGAGCAAGCAATCTGAAGTTTACAGGTTGCCTGCATCACCTCACATTGGCAAGTGGTCATCACACATAAAAATCCCTCTGCCAGAAAACAAGACACATCCAATTTTTAATCCATCACGTTTGATTTTGCTTCCAGCTAGTGTCAAACCATTATCTCATAATTATGTGATTGCACTTGTCCATTTTTGGGTGCTAAGAGATTATTGCAGTAACTTTTCACAAATCCTTAAAGCTAAATTCATCTGTTGTCCAATGGCATCTCAACCCAATGCCCCTTTATTAGTTTATATCTGTTGTCAGAATTATTGAAATGTATGACAAATTTTCATTATAAATGCAATACTGTTGTCCTTTATTTCTGGGGAGCACCCTCTGAGCAATTAGAGTACTGCTTCAGATGTCAGGGTAATACAGTATAGACAGAATAAATATGTACACAAATATCAGACATGTTAAAAAGGCATAGCTTGTCTAAGCAGAGTGACAAAACTCCATCAAGTGTTTTCTCCACAGGTCTAAAAAGCTGTTCAGAAAAGTTTATGTTTATTTCGGACCTTCTATGACATCAGAATACCCCAAATTGCTTCACAGCTATCCCTCATTAAGTATGCCTAATGTGTTCCATAAAAAAGGTATACTAAAGAAAAACATGCCAAATGATAATAACTTACCCAAAAGAAAACATGTAATAAGGGTGGTTTATGTTACTGATCTGTAATTTTTAAATTAAATGCATATGTTTAAATTTTGATGTATTTAGTCTAATTTGTGTATTAATTAAGCACAAAAACACATGGATTAGTAACAAGCAATAATTTATCAATATATAACAAATTCAGAAACTTGGATGATTAGTTACGGCATGCTGTGATATCTCACATCACCAGTCTGACTGGGTGCAAAATCTTTCAGCTGTAATAAAGCTGAAGAAGTTGAAATGTAACTCCAAGAGACCAGTAGCAATGTGATTTCCAATATGGACAAAGAATGCTGAATACATCCATTCGTATCAGCAGCCTTTTTGCAAAAATGCCTGTCCACTCCAAAAAATATCCCTGTTGCCAAAAAGTGTGGAGTAGCAGAACTGGTGTCCACGTAAGGGTCAAATCTGGACCGCGCAGAACGTCAACATCAAAAGAAGCAAGACCAATCCAATCTGGCAATTTACAACATCATCAGTCAAATTTTGAACGTGAGCGGAGCAGTGGAAAGTGTTATCAACAGTGCTATTAAGCTGCACTTAAACAACAATAACCTGCTCTTTGATGCTTAATTTGGGTTCTGCCTTGGAAGTTAGCTCCTGACCTAATTATAATCTTGTACAAACCTGTACAAATAATTGAACTCATCCCGTTGAGAAGATCGTTAATACCCAAAACATCAAGTCAACATTTGACTAGATCTGACATAAATACAATCAATTGGAATCAGTGAGAGAACTTTCCATGTTTGTAATCATACTTCGCATGAAGGATGATGCTTGTTAACCAATTATTTAGGTCATAGGACATCACTGTGGAATGTCTTTTGTAGTATTCTTGGCTCAACCATTTTTATTTGCTTCACCAGTAACCTTCCCTCCATCTTGAGGTTAGAAGGGTGACGTGTATATGGAATGAGCTTCACAAGAAGTGATAGAGATGGGTATATTTGCAACATTTAAAAGTCATTTGGAGAGGTACATGGATAGTAAAGGTTTAGATGGACATGAGCCAAACTCAGGCAACTGGGACTACTTCAGTTTAGGAAACCTGGTCAGCATTGACGAGTTGGGCTGAAAGGCCCGTTTCTGTGCTGCAGGAGTCTATGTCTCTATGACTGTATGACCTGTGGCCTCTACTTGGACCATATCATAGAGTCATAGAGTAATACAGCATGAAAACAGGCCCTTCAGCCCAAACTGGTCCATGCTGACCATGGTGTCAACTCAGCTAGTTCCAACTGCCTACATTTGGACCATATCTCTCTAAATCCTTCCCATCCATGTACCTATCCAAATATTTTTTTTAAATGATGCTATTGTACCTGCCTCAACCACTTTCTCTGGCAGCCCATTCCACATATGCACCACTCTCTGCGTGAAGAAGTTCCCCCCAGGTCCTTCTTAAATCATTCCCCCCTTACTTTAAACTTAAGCCCTCTCGTTTTCAATTCTCCATCCTTGGAGAAAAGATTATATGCATTCATCCTATCTATGCCCCTCATGATTTTATGCACCTCAACAGGTTCACCCATCATTCTCCCACGTTCCAAGGAATAAAGTTATATCCTGGCCAACCTCTCCCTATAACTCAGGCCTACTTGTCCTGGCAACATCCTCGTAAATGTTCTTTGCGCACTTTCCGGTTTAACTGTGTCTTTCCATTTCCTGCCTACACATATATCTGTCAAGGTGCCTCTTAAACATTGCTGTTTTATTCACAACCTCCTCTGGCAGCACGTTCCAGGCACTTGCCATCCTCTGTGTAAAATACTTGGCAATGACATCTCCTTTAAATTTACCCCCTTTTACCTTAAACCTATGTCCCTTAGTATTGATACTTCCATCCTGGGGAAAAAACATTCTTGATTATCCATTGTATCCATGAAACTCATACATTTGTAAACTATCAGGTCACCTCTCACCCTTCGATATTCAAGTGAAAACAAGTTTGTCCAATTTCTCCTCATTGCTAATACCCTCCAAACCAGGCAACATCCTGGTAAACTGTTTTTGTACTCTTTCGAAAGCCTCCACAGCCTTCTGGTAGTGTAATGACCGCAGTTGTACACAATATAGCAAATGTGGACTAACTGAAGTTCTTTACAGCTGCAACATTGCTTGCAAATTTTTTAAACACTGTCCTCTGCTTGATGAAGGCAAGCATGCTATATGCCTTCTTGACCACCTTATCCACTTGTGTTGCCACTTTCAGATAACTGAGGATCTGTATGCCTAGTTCCCTCTGTATGTTGATGCCACTAAGGGTTCTGCTATTTACTATATACGTCCTCACTGCATTAAATCTTCCAAAATGCATCACCTTGCATTTGTCTGGATTAATCTCCATCTGCCATATTTCTGCCCAGTCTTCAGCTGATCTATATCTGGCTGTATCCTCTGGCAATCCTCCTCACTATCCATAGCTCCCCCTGTCTTTGTGTCATCCGCAAACTTACTAACCAGGCCACCTACATTCTCCTCCAAATCATTTACTTTTATTACAAATGACAGGGGTCCTAGTACTAATCCCTGCAGAAAACCCCTGTTATAGATCTTCACTGGGAAGCTCATTTTTGACAAGATGAAGAATGGTGGCAATGAAGGTGGGGAAAAGGGTGGATTTGATGACCCACTGTGCTTGACCCCTGACTTGACCTCAAAGGATTCTGTCATATTACCGTCGGTGAGGACTGTTGCCGACATTTTGTTGTGGAGGAGTTGGTTGATGTTGATGAATTTCAGTCGACAGACAGCTTTTTAACAGGGTCTTCCTGAATGACTGAGTCAAAAATGTTGGTCAGATCAATGAAGACCATGTGGTTGGTGTTGTACCTGGCATTTCTCTTGGAGCTGCCAAGCAGTGCAAATTGCGCCCATAGTTCCAAGGTTTGGTCAGGAGCTACACTGCCTTTCAGGAAGGAGATAACAAGGTGTGGAGCTGGAAGAACACAGCAGGCCAAGCAGCATCAGAGGAGCAGGAAAGCTGACGTTTCAGGTCTGGACCTTTCTTCAGAAATGGGGGAGGGGAAGGGGGCTCTGAAATAAATAGAGGGGGTGGCGTGGTGATAGAAGGTAGATAGTGTAACAGATAGGTAGGAGAGAAGACGGACAGGTCAAGGAGGTGGGGATGAAGCTAGTAAAGGTGAGTGTAGGTAGGAAGTGGGGGTGGGTGTTGGTCAGTGAGGTGGGAGGAGCGGATAGGTGGGAGAGAAGACAGACAGGTCAAGGAGGCAGGGATGAGAGGGGGGGCTGGTCTTGGGATGAAGTCGGGGTGGGGAGATTTTGAAGCTAGTAAAATCCACATTGAGACCATTAGGTTGTAGGCTTCCAAGGCGGAATATGAGGTGCTGTTAAGTTGCTCTGAGACTGGGAGAGACGGTGCTACATGAGGTTTTGGGAGACAATCTTCCCAGTGATGGAGAATAGGGAGAATGTTAGTTGTTCCCACAGTCCATTTTGTCTCCTTTCTTGAAGGCAATGATAATGGCAGCATCCCTGAAATTGGCAGGGATTTCTTTTAGTCCCAGATTTTCAGGAACAGTTGATGGGAATGATGGGTAAGCGCTATTCCACCAGGTTTGCATATCTCCACTGGAATCCCCTCTACTGCTGCAGCTTCTCCATTCTTCATGTGTCTGATGGAGGCTTCAGCATCTGCCACACTCAATGGAGAGTCTAAGATCACTTTTGATGGGGAGTTGGGGGATTTTCTCAAACACATCTTGGTCAACACTTGTATTGCAGTTTAGTTCTTTGAACTGTTCTGTCTATCGGAGGTTGATGTTTTCTCTGTCTATCAAAAGGGTGTCATCCTTACTCCACACTGGTTTGAGGCCAGGGGTGTTGGATATGTATTTGCAACTCTGTCTTCTCTGATGGTTCCTTTCCAGAGTTCAGCATCATTTCCAACCCTGATGCCGAAGTCTCCAAGAACGATACCTTTATCTTCCTTAGGGATGTTGGTAAGTATAATGTACATATTAAATGAGAAATCGTGTTTTTTTTTGTGAATTCAGTGCTTTCCTAAAGCCCCAGCTGTTTAATTTACACTCATTTTAATTCCAGGCATTTTCTAATATGACTTACAGGAAATATAAGCATAACATATTAATAGAATAAGCATGAATATCTGGATTGTGTCCACAAGGGAATTCCAGACCAGCATTAATCTGACCGGAGGGTGGTCCATTCCAATCTCAGCTACACACAAGAAAAATTTATCTTAAAGACAAGGCTCTGTCCAAAATTGTGGATGAAGTCTGAGAAAAGTGTTGTATTTGTTTTAGCTGAGTGACAGTTGTGTCAAATTCCCAGGTGCCCAAGAAGTACTAATCTTAATGGTGATTGTTGTTGTTAATTTGTACATCAACCAGCAACTTAAGGAGAGGAAGAGAAGCACTGCCAGTTTCTTTTGGATATTTTTGAAAGAGTTTCTGAAGAAGTAACAAGAAGGATTGATGAGGGCAGAGTGGTGGACGTGATCGATATGAACTTCATTAAGCCATTCACAAGGTTCCTCATGATAGCCTGGTTAGCAAAGTTAGATCACGTAGAAAAGAGGCTGAACTAGCCATTTGGCTAGTTCTGGAACTGGCTCGAAGGTAGGAAACAGAGGGTGGTGATGGAGGGTTTCTTTTCCGACTGGAGGCCTGTGACCAGCGGTTTGCCACAAGGATCGGTGCTGGGTCCACTGCTTTTTGTCGTTTATATAAATGATTTGGATGTGAACATAGGAGGTTGGTAAGTTTGCAGATGACACCAATATTGGAGATTTAGTGGACAGTGAAGAAGGTTACCTCAGAGTACAATGGGATCTTGATCAGATGGACCAATGGGCCGAGGAGTGGCAGATGGAGTTTAATTTAGATGAATGTGAGATGCTGCATTTTGGAAAGGCAAATCACGGTAGGACTTATGTACTTAATGGTAAGGTCCTGGGGAGTGTTGCTGAACAAAGAGAACTTGGAGTGCAGGTTCATAGTTCCTTGGAAG